TTTTTTTTTTTTTTTTTTTTTTTTTTTTTTTTTTTTTTTTTTTTTACTGTTTTTTGACCAAACTTTATAAAACAGCAGCAATGCAAAGAAAAAACAGAATATGGCAGGATAGTTGACAGTATAGGGGGACCAGTCACCTCAGAAATCCATTCAGGGGTTCCTAATTAAGAAATTTATGGGTTTTGCATTTGTTATATTGGGGGATTGGGTGACAAAAAGGATGTCTATGGTAATCTGAAAATTGTTTATTTATCTATGCAGTTTTATCAGGAACAACAGTTTTTGCCTGTTTGTTGTTCTTCACATAATGCATATTTTTTGTTCTTTAGTTTGTGGGAGGTATTTTTGTTTAATCCATTAAAAGGTAATTTAATCTTAACAAACAAAAAAAGAAACAAAAATTACTAATATTTTAAAGTTTTATACAAAAAATATGATGTGACCCAATTAAATAACTAATGTTCACTGAAGTTTGAGGGATAAATATGAATTCAAAGTCTGTCTTAATCAACCCTTGGAAATAGTTTTAAAATCCAAAATCTGCAGAAAAAGCTAAAAACATAACTTCCTCTGATCAGTCTATTTTGATCTTCCACTGTAAATAACTGTACTGCTTGTAAGCCATTTATCTGACTGAAGGGGGCGCTGTGACGCATCACAACTCTGCTTTCTTCGTCTACTTGGCAACAAAATCAGTGTTGTTAACCGTTGCTAGGGAAATGAAGGAGCTAATTTTAAAGCCGCCACTCTGATATTGACGGTTCATGAAAGGTAACGGTGTACTGGCAGGTTTTCGATAAAGTTGTATAAACCAAAATAACCAAACGGTTCCTGTAGTTTTACAAGAGAGAAAAAGGGTTAAGACGCATTTGTTTGAAACGCTATTTAGCTCAGCTAGCATATATTGTTGCTATTCAGTTAGCAGTTAGCTTCCCAAGCTACAGGAGATTTCCTACCTAGTGAAGATAAATGAAGTGTTTGAGTCTGAAGTTTTTTTAGTAAGCAAGTAGGGTGTGAAATGGTCAAATGTGCTAACAATACCATCCTCGTTTTTCGTGAGGTGAGTTCGCCCAAAGTATTTGCTGGCCTGTTGCACTGCTAACGAATTAAGCACTCTAACATTTGAATTTTAGATAGCTTAGTCCGGCATCTGAGATTTTCCCTGGAAGGATAACAGATACGATTCTAACCTATGAGTAAGATGTGGGTTTAAATTGCGAAATACAGTAGTCCTTTATAAGAAATGCATGATCATTTCCTATTTATCTGGTGAAATCCCAAAGGAAAAAAAATCAGATCTGACTTACATTATATTTGACATGTAAAAATGGAACAAAAACACTTTATTCACCCCAACATTAAATGGAAACTTAAACGACAGCCAATCCACATGCTGCATGTTGTATAAAGTACATTTCCCCTTGCATCACCAGCCCACCGGCCTCTAAGGCAAGGTGGTTTGATGATGCTCAGCACAATGATCTTCATGCTGGGTTAGTAATTAAGTAATTGAAGTGTGTACGATCATTTATGTATGTAGATAGTGCAATGTATTGCCAGTTGAATTAGAAACCCCTGATCTAGACTTGTTGAACATAGTATTGGATGTATGTTTAGGTTTGTTTGTTGAAAGGGGAAATCTCTGCCTCTGTTTAGCCTCCTCCTTATGCCGGCTGAAAAACAGCAGCATCTCTGTTCCTTGATGCTACCACCATGGTTCATAGTGGGGAATGATGATGTGCGAAGATAGTTTGGAGCCATGCTGAGTATTTTGCATGTGGACTAAAAAGTTAGACTTTAATCGACCAGAATAGCTTTTTCCCTCAAGTTTTCTTACAAAGCCTTTATTTTTTCTTTCTTCCTAAAAGACAACATTTTTGACCAGAAAGCAAATCTATTAATTGTCCTGTCAAGAGATTCTCCCCTCTGAGCTGTGAACCTCTGTAGCTTTTACTAACACTCTTTCTGTTGTTTTGTTGCAGGTGTTATGACGATAATGAAAAAGATTTATCCTGCTCACAACAGCTTGTTTTGGACATGAAGAAAAGATGGCTGAGAATGGAGAGGACTGCACTCTCAACTGCCCCTCTGAAACTCGTGATAAAGGAGCCTACGATGACATTGAAAGCAGGAGCCCCAAAACCCCACTAGTCGATATAAAATCTAACAGAAAGAACAATGATGCTGGACAAGCAGACAGGGAGATCCCTGTGTACCTGCCTCAACCCCCCTCACCCAGGCTTTCTAAGTTTAGTAAAAGTGTTTCAGCGGAGGAGACGGTGAGGACCAGGAGGCTCAGAAACAGCCAGGAGAGTCTGAGTGACAGAGCAGAGACAGGTTCCTCCACAGACTCTCTCAGAGAAGACCGATTATCTCCAAGAAACGAGCAGGACTCCAACACCAAACTTACCAACTTCACAATTGGATCTCCGGTTCTCCAGGACAGGAAGAGCAGACCGGCCAAGCACGAAAAAAGGTCGCAGAGTCAGCAGAGTGTCTGGGAGGACCACCGGGGGCGATCAGCCAAGATACGGCTGTCTCCACTGCGGCCCACAGGGCCACTGCCTGCTCTGGACAAGACCTTTGCGTCAGCCGCTTTAAAGGCTGTTAATAGGATTGACAGGGATTGTTTGGATTATGGCATGCTGGTCAAAGAGAAGGGTGGTAAGAGACTCCACAGGAACCTGAGCGACAGCCGGCTTCTGGAGAACATGGGATCGGACAGTGTCTCTGTAAGCTCCATGAAGTCTGTCTACAGCGTTCTAAGCCCCATCAGACCCCAGGATGTAAGAAACAGGTAAAGTAGACTTAGGACTTGATGTAATTGCTTTGATTACCTTTAATTATCATTATGTTGGGTAATTAGCAGCTTTTTTCATCCTTACTCTTCCCAGTTTAAAAGTGCTGTTAGATACTTATAGCTTTCATGATCTTTCTTAGTTAATCATCCCAGAATATATTTTATCACTTTATTTTAGTGAGTAAACATTAGTTACTATATGTTTTATAAACCCTAAATCTGTCTTCAGCTCCCGTTCTCCTTTCCAGATAAAGCTTCAACACATCTGGGGTTCTTTAGGTAGATATTGTAAGAGGTTTCTGCTCAGGGGTATGGAGAATGGAATGTAATAGCTTTGTGAATCATGAGGGAGTGTTTCTCTCACATCATGTTTGCTCGGGATGAGGGGCGACTGCAGAGTCCATGGTTCTGGGATCCAGGCCAGGTTCCTTAGATAGCATTTTACAAATTAGTTTTATATGATCATCTGATTTTGCTATATATGACTTAAAAATAAAATGTTTATACTTTGCAAATTGTGGCTAAATATGTAAATAAAGTTAATTGAATTAGGAATTATAGTCAGGACTTTGATGGGTTTTTGTTTGTTTGTTTGTTTTAAGGGAAACTTTAGGCCATAGATTATGGTTGATCACAACTTTTATTACAACACAATCAAATGACTGGGCTCCATTTTAATAGAAAAGAGTGAACCTGGCAAGGCTTCAAACTTTAAAAGCTAGATTTTTTTCCCTTATAGTGAAGAAAGTTTAGCTTTGTTTCTAGAAATATATTGTTATTCATATAGCAGCTTTAGATGAGAACATTTTCTGCTGCTGTTTGACTATAACTTTGTGCTCTGTATCTATACTTTGTGCTAACATCTGTAGGAAGAGGAGTGTTATTGCAGTGTGAAAGGGATTAGCATGGATCAGAGAAGATGCTTGCTCAGCCTTCTTTCTACGGGAGTAAAAGGCAAAAAGGGGGCATAAACTAGTCTCCTAATGCATAATTTGTCTCTTGCCAGCAACTACTTAAGCAACACCTAAGTTTCCATGAGACAGCAGCCTCGTTTTAAATTTTTCTTCTTTCTTGAGGACAAGCCTTTAACAAAATTAGATTTTTGCTTTCTTCTAGGAGTTTCCTGGAGGGCAGTATGCTGGGAAGCGGGGCCTTGCTCGGGGCTGAGGAGCTGGACCGACACTTTCCAGACCGAAGAGTGGGCGTCTATGTGGTGACATGGAACATGCAGGGAGAGAAGGTAGCAATGAGACTTCAGCGTCTCACTCACTGTGAATGCAAGCAGCTGAAAAAATTATTACCAAACATCTGTCATCCTCAGTTTCTTCCAGCAAACTTAAATGATCTCCTCCTTCCGACGGACTCTGAATTTGCACAAGATATTTACGTCATCGGGGTTCAGGAGGGCTGCCCTGACAGGTATGTCCAGTTAGAGTTTTATCAGGAGGATTGCACTTTCAATTTAGTGCAATCAGTTTGTTTACATGTGTTTGCTTGCAGGAGGGAGTGGGAGACCTGCCTTCAGGAAACTCTGGGACCTCATTATGTTATGCTCTACACCGCATCACATGGGGTCCTCTACCTGACCGTGTTTATCAGGAGAGACCTCATGTGGTTCTGTTCAGGTCTGTGCTCTAATATTGCTTGGTTACCTTTGTTTATATGGACCAAGTGAATTCATTTCCACACGTGAAATGTGGGATTTTGCTGGAACCTGAAGTTCTACAATTATATATATAAATATTGAACTTTTGTATTATAGAACACATTTTTAATATATGCATCAAAATGATAAATTTAAGTTTGTTAATATATTGTACTGAAATATAAATGAGAGAAAGCTGCAGTTTTTTTTTTTATAGAATAAATGTTTTAAAATCTTAATTTTAGCCCTTAGAAGATCCCAAATAGATCCAGATTACCAGTACTAGTCCTTAGATTAGAGTTAGAGACGTCCTGAATTTCTACAGTTGATCAAAGGATTCTGCTGTTGCAGCCTTTTCATTTTAGAGGAAAGCAGCTGCCTGCGTTAAGATGCTCAGTGTATTTTAGTTCTTGTCAGGAGATCAGGTCAAACTGGATTCTTTTTTTATTTTGAGAGTTGAAATCTAGAATGTTCTCGTTGCCTTAGGCCAACTATTTACTTATTTGCTAATGGAGAGATTTTAGGGATTCTTGATTAAAATATTTTCTTTGCAGCCTTTATTAAGCTTATTGTCTGAAGACGTTAGGGCTGTGGATCTAAAACCACAGAGGGGACTTTTCCAGCGCTGACAAACACAGACTCCCGAAAGATAAAACAGCTTTGCTATCTTGCTCAAAGTGTTTAATGTATTTGCCTTTTAGCTCAACTTATGTTTCATTATCAATATAAAGCTTGAATTTAAAACATGATAAATGTAGAAGTTTTTACGTTTATCTTAATGAGTGCTACATTGAAGCCTGTGAAAGATCTCAGCATATAAATCTACACGTTCTTTGACAATGTTTCTTTTCAATTGCAAAGTTTTGTATTGTCTTTTTTTTATTTCGGTTTCTCCCCAAACAGAAGTGGAACATGCCACGGTCACAACCAGAATCATCTCTCAGATTAAGACTAAAGGGGCTCTGGGGGTCACCTTTACCTTCTTTGGAACGTCCTTCCTCTTCATAACATCCCACTTTACATGTAAGTAGAAAAACAACAAGCAGCATCAGAAACATCTTACCATCATGAAGATAGTACATGGAGGTGTACTTGTGTTATTGGTAATCAGCTAAATTAAACTTGGACTTATCGAATACCATGATATCTAGTTCTATTTGCTAGAATTTAGAAGAAAAAAAAGAAACACAAAAGAATGAAATGACTAACAAACGGGGGTTACATCCATCCTCTGTTTGGTATTTTCTTCTTCTTTTAATTTTCCATCATTTTTTAGTGGGACCTGAGTCAGTTCTTATTGATGTATCCTTATAGATACATTCCTACATAAAAACAAAAATCAGCATGTGAAATGGGGACATTTTAGAATAGAACTTTATTTTTTTCACAATGGAGACATTCACTTGTGACATTGGCTGTTATAAACAACAAGGTGCACAAAGGAGAAAAAGGTTCATAAAGTTTATACAGTGCACATATACAGTGGATTGTAAAAAAGAATAAACGAGAGATTTAAGGTGACTTATATATACAGTATTATATGTACAGTAAAGTGGTGGCAGGTAAAGTGTGGTTTCTGGTTTTTAATAAATAAATAACAGAAGTTATTGCAGTGTTATTACAGCAGGTTATATTGCATAGGCATTGTAATGTCTGATGGCTGCAGGGATATTTTTCTACCTGCGGAAGAGCTCCTTTTTACACACGGGATGTATAACTCTGTTACTAAAGGAGCTGCTCAGCTCCTCTACAGTCTGGTGCAGAGGGTGGAAGGTGTTATCCATGATGGATGTAAGCTTGGACAGCACCCTCCTCTCAGCAGTTTCTTCCACAGAGTCCCGAGCGCAGCCTTAGAAACGGCCTTTCTCACCAGTTTGTTCAGTCTCTTTCCGTCCCGCTCTGTGCTGCCAGAGGCCTAGCAGACAACAGCTTAGAGGAGGGCCTATGCCACCACAAAGTCATAGAAGGTTTTATGCAGGGGCTTTCTCACTCTAGAGAACCTCAGCCTGCTCAGGGGGTGGAGGCGGCTCTGGCCCTCCTGTGTTATGAGTCCAGTCCAGTTTATTATTGACGTGAACACCCAGGTATTTGAAACTCTCCATAGTTTCTATGTCCTGCCCCTGGATGTTCACAGAGGAGTGAGGTTGGAGTCTTCCTCTAAAGTCGATCCCTATCTCTTTGGTCTTACTAGTGTTTAGACACAGGTGGTTCTTCTCACACCAGTCCAGATAGTCCTTGATGACTGACAGGTACTCCAGCTCGTTCCCCTCAGAAACATAGCCTACACAATGTCAGAGTCATCGGAGAACTTCCACAGGTTGCAGCTGTCCGTGTTAAAGGTGAAGTCTGAGGTATAGAGGGGGAAAANGGACTAAGTTCGGAATGGCACCCAGGCTACCCGAGCACAGCCCTAGGACAGAAACGGCCTTTCTCACCAGTTTGTTCAGGCTCTTTCCGTCCCGCTCTGTGCTGCCAGATGCCTAGCAGACAACAGCTTAGAGGAGGGCCTATGCCACCACAAAGTCATAGAAGGTTTTAAGCAGGGGCTTTCTCACTCTAGAGAACCTCAGCCTGCTCAGGGGGTGGAGGCGGCTCTGGCCCTTCTGTGTTATGAGTCCAGTCCAGTTTATTATTGACGTGAACACCCAGGTATTTGAAACTCTCCATAGTTTCTTTGTCCTGCCCCTGGATGTTCACAGAGGAGTGAGGTTGGAGTCTTCCTCTAAAGTCGATCCCTATCTCTTTGGTCTTACTAGTGTTTAGACACAGGTGGTTCTTCTCACACCAGTCCAGATAGTCCTTGATGACTGACAGGTACTCCAGCTCGTTCCCCTCAGAAACATAGCCTACACAATGTCAGAGTCATCGGAGAACTTCCACAGGTTGCAGCTGTCCGTGTTAAAGGTGAAGTCTGAGGTATAGAGGGGGAAAAAAAACTGAAACAGAACAGTGCCCTGGGGGGCCCGGTACTGCAGGCAGTCTCTGGATACCTCTGACTGACAGCTGGGTACCCGCACGTGCTGAGGGCAGTCAGTGAGGTAGTTGATGGTCCATTCAGCCAGATGTTTGCATCCTCCAGCTTCCCCCCTCCAGCTTCCCCCTCAGCAGCTCTGGTCTGATGGTGTTGAAAGCACTGGAGAAGTCAAAGGGCATAACTCTCACAGCACTCCAGGTGTGTGAGCGCCCGCTGCAGCAGGTAGATGATGGCGTTGTCTACTCTGATGATGGGCCAGTAAGTAAACTGCAGCGGGTCCAGGGTTCACTACGGTGCGAAGGTGTGCGAAGAGGAGGCGCACCATGGTCTTCATACATGGGAGGTCAGGGTGACTGGTCTAATGTGGGTCTAAACTGGTTTAAAGCAAATTACATCACAGGGTTATCCTCAGTTCAACTATGTGTTTCCAAAGAGGCTTTAAAGACAGGCTGGCTGTCTTATGTTTTTATTTTTTTATTTTAACAACTTCTGCAGCATGGGGCAGTCTAGATAATACATTTATTTTTAGGGGTAATTTTTCAATAAAAATTTTCCCATTTTGTGAGCGAGTTGTTTGCTATTTTCCTCACTGATATATCCTCATTTAATTATTTTGCCCTCCTTTCATATGTACATTGAATGTGTGATCAATGACTGTGAATGTAAAATATCTGTCCTTTATATATTTTGATTATTTAGTTCTCATTGGAGATCTTCTAATGTCTTCATGCTGCTGAATATTTAGGGTTTCATGTTTCTCCAAGTTAAACTGATCTCTTGATTCCTGTAAAATTTGCCAGTCTTCCTTCTTTCTTCAAAGCGATCCATGTTGCCTTTTATTTTGTGGGATAAACCAGTGGTCACAATCATTTTTAAAAATATTTATATTTCAAAGTGAACCTGTAGTTCATTATTGCTCTTTATCTCTGTACATTTTTGTTACTTGGTTTGTCTTTCAGCTGGAGATGCCAAAGTTTACGAGAGAATTCTGGATTACAACAAGATCATTGAGGCCTTAGCTCTTCCCAAAAGCATTCCAGACACCAACCCGTATCGCTCCTCATCTTGTAAGACTGGGGAAAAATGACAGCTAGAGTCATTGGAAACCGACATTTCTCATTACGATCTTGTGTCTTTTACTTTTAATCACAGCTGACGTCACCACCAGGTTTGATCAGGTTTTCTGGTTTGGTGATTTTAACTTCCGACTCAGCAAAGAGCGGGCTGACATTGAGACGATAATGAAGCGAACAATGGGTGGGGATATGAGCCCTCTGCTGGAGCATGACCAGCTCACTAAGCAAATGAAGGACGGTATGTAGGATGAAAGCCTCGGAGAACCACAGCTGTTTGGTTGATGATCTCTGAATGAATAACTCCCTCCTTACAGGGTCCATCTTCAAAGGTTTCCAGGAGGCACCAGTCCACTTCTTTCCAACCTACAAATTTGACATTGGCTGTGATGACTATGACACCACCTCTAAGCAGAGAACGCCTTCATACACAGTAAGGAGGCATTTAGCAGCATGTTCTAATTGCTCACAATCTATGTGTGGTTAAAGGCTTTTTGTTCTCAGGACAGGGTTCTGTTCAGGAGCAGGCAGGCTAATGACATAAGAGTGCTGAAGTACGACAGCTGTTCCAGCATAAAGACTTCAGACCACAGACCCGTCATCGCCGTCTGTCAGGTTAAACTCAGGCCGGGAAGAGACAAGTGAGTCCATTTAATACATCATAGCGTTTAATTGCATTTGTTAGGTTCTGTATGTCTTCATCTACTTTGATATGCAAACCCCAAATTATTTACAATAGATTTAAATTTACATTTATTTTGAATTACCTAGAAGTTATTTCCTGTTTTTACTTTTTATTTTAAAATGGGATGTCTAAATTATCTCCCAAACTTAACTGGGATCAAAGCAGTCTCAAATAGTTAGGTCTGACCAGCTTTTAACACGTTTCCACTTTTATTTTTATCCATTTATCAGTCAATAGGAGCTCTGAGTCTTTTTATGTGGGAACGTCTCCTTACCATCACCATAATCTATCGATCCTTCGACAGATTCTCTATTTGATTCATCAGGAAACTGCTGGGTCACTGCCAATCGTTTATATTACTTATAGTGCAAAGAAACATGGTGGTAAAATTAAGATAATTTTAGACGCAATCTGAATAATTTTGGGATAATTTTAGATCAATAATCAATTGCCCACATTAGATGTAAATAACATACAATATAGATGCTGGAGAATGAAATGATATGGAGATGAAATGATTATACCAACATTGTTTACTCAGAGTAAACTAAGTAGGTTTACCCCCTCTTTATTTGACAGATTCAAGTTTTTAAGTTCAGAATGATGTCTGCTTTGGTCCTCCATACTTTTTTGCTCTTGTAGTTTACGTTATAGACCGTAGACTGTTTGCTGTTGCTGATTATTATTTTGTCAACCCAGCAGTTTAGAGTGGGCCAGTCAGAAAGTCCAGGGTCACTTTTTCTCTCCAGTCCAGCCTTCAGTACATCATTAGTATTACTGTACTAGGGCTTTTTTTCAGGTATTATAAAAAACAAAAAAAAAACAAAGACTTATTGTGATTTTTCCCTTCCTTTTTTTTTTTTAAAGGAAAGGGGAACACTTGAGGTTCAGAAGCAGTTTATTTCAGCGTTTGTTTTCTTTTGTTCTCAATATTAATATAACTGCTAAAAAATGCTTAATCATGGTCAAAAGGATCCAATTAATTGTTAGGTTTCTAACAATATCCAGCTTTCATTGAATATATGAATTGGTACCTGCCTACTTCACAGCCCTGTTGTTGGGAATAATGATACATTGGATTTACCTCAGCAGTTGGAACTGGGGAGTCTGAGTGCACTATGTATTGTTCATATATGACAGGTTATAGCCTATTTTACATCAATAAAAATGATAAAGGCATTGATAGGATTTTTTAGGTGAGCATTTCATTAACCATTTGTCATTGTTTTATTTTAGATACTTGTAATTTAGTCAAACAAAATTAACCCTCACTTCCTTTCTTCTGTCCAAACCTCCAATTAACCTCATCCTATTATCCTACACTTTACTGCACTACCTATACTGGTGGCATATTTCAAAATGTGTCTTTTGGTGGGTTTATACTTTGGGTTTAGTTACGCTTTGATATATATATATATATATATCTTACCTTTTTCAGGCAAGATAATAAAATAAAAATACTATACATATTGTGAAATGATTCCTTTATGGAATAAATCAAACTTTAAAGCAGAAATCAGGTGAGAAATACCTGTGGTTCATTGATAGATGTTGCCAAGCAACAGTTCTATCACCTATGTTATAATTTAGCCTCCAACTGGGGAATGATATTGCATCTTTTAATTTTTTATATTAACTATTTAAAAAAATGTTTTTTTTGTGCTGTTATTTAGCGATTTCATGTAAAAAAATGTTTAAATCTACCTGTTTAATAATTACAGATTCAAGATGTTGTTCATTTTCCCTTTCCAATATTTTATTGTGTTGCTCAGTATTCCTCTGTGTGGAGGAATGTTCGACCGGAGTTTGTACCTGGAGGGCATCAAAAGGAGGATGACTGCCAGAGAGCTGAAGAGGAGGGAGGCCATATCCAGCCAAAACAGCACCATCTGCACCATCTCCTGAACGCTTTAAGAAGCTCTCTACAGTCAGGACTGAACCTGTGCCACACGTGGGAATGGACCAAAATGATAACCAGCGTTGTCTTAACATGCTGTTGGGATAATGGCTGCAGCTGAGCACCAAGGGCCTTTAAGGTCTGCAGACATCAGCAGTCTGGCCTTTATTTAGCCTTCTTTACTTAAATATGACTGGGAAACAAAGAGTGAGTGGATTGGGTGCCTTTAGTGCTTAATACTCAGTCACATGCAACTAACCTGAAAGTCTGCACTCATTGTCTTAACAGAATCCGTAACCATTCTGATGGTCAAACGATCAAAAGCCTTGTGATTTATAATGCACTGACCCAAACTTTTATTAAAACAAAAGAAACATGTAGGTGTTTGGCTTAAATTGCATTTTTTTTACTGGTCAGAGCATTTCTGCTGAGGTTAGTACAATTCTCAGAGTGTTACAAAGAGAAATGAGGGTACGAGTTGGTTCCATTTCAGGGAAACTTGACGTTTATATTTATTTGAAGAATTGTATTGATCTGCTTTTTCAGGGAACTCACCATAGAGAGAATGTTGAAATGTTTTTGTCATGGGAAGCTTGTTACTGTCGCTGTCTTATATTCCATGCAGTTTTCATCATAGCTCTGACTTTATGCCTTGCATCTCGTTTTATTCCTTACAGACCATAAACTTTCAATGTACTGTATGTAGCACAGCTATGGGCTGGAGCTTTAAAAGCTTTCTGCTTATTTAAACAAGTGCCTATGGGTCTTGCTAACTTGTTAACATGACCCGTTTGTCAATAATTTGTAAGTTATTGTGTAATCTAATGTGTAACATCCTGTAATAAATTGGTAAATTTGAACCTTTATAAAACAGTTTTATTTATGTCTACATTTATTAATGAATCATATTAGCTTATTGGAAGAACATGGTTTAATGTAACCACTAGGAAACTGTATACAATAGTGGTTTACCTTTTTATTCTTGGTTTTTCGCACATTGAACTGCTAGCTGTAGCTGGATCCAAATTAAAACAACATTTTGTCCAGAAATACGCAAAGCCCATCAATAACAGCAGCCAATCAAAAAGTTGTGTGCATGTTGGAAATTTCTTAGTTTCATTTAGGATCTTTTTAAATGTAAAACAGAAATGAATGCAAAGGCACCATGCCTCAAACAAAACATACACCCCGGATCAGAATAATTGGCTGTGTCTTATCTTCCTCGTTTTTTTTTTTATTTTACAGTGATCAGATGATTTAGATTGCATTCACAAGCACTGCTTAGTTAAAATGGAATTAACACATTAGAATAGTAATACTGTCTTTTTGCAGGGAAAAATAGGATTTGCATAGTTATTGTTCATGGACAACTTTCATAGAAGCTCAACGACTAAATGAGACGCATGGGACATGAACAAGAAAAAAAGTTTCCTTAGCACAACTGCTCTGGTGCTGGCTGTTCTTTTAAGAAGTCTACTATATATACCCTAAAATTAAATCATGTACAGCCAACTGCCTTTAAAAGCCTGTCTATCAGAACCCTACTGTCCTACACTATCCTCAGAGGTTTATTTGAGAACATAAAAAACAGCATCTATATCATGAGCATAAAACGGAGCAGACGGGTCAAGAATAAAGCTGTAGTCTAGTCTGTTCCTTTAATTAACTAGAAAGCGGAAAATGTTCCATCATCTAATATATACATATATATAGATAGATATTAAACTGTTTGGACCAAAGCATCTTCCCTAAAACCAATTAAAAACCATTCAAATGTGATATAACCGATAAAACTGGCTGTTTGTCAAAGATTTCACTGAAAGTTTTAGACTGGGAGCCCATTAGCAAATCACAAACACTGAGTCAGTCTAATTGAATTAATCCTCCAGCCAATAATTTAATATATTTCTATTTTTTCCTTCAGTCTATGTAGTTTCAAACTAAATTAAATAACCACCATAAAAGAAAGTTCCAGTAACTTTATTTATACAAACACTCTTCATCTGGACTGGTTTGTTTTTAAATGTATTCTAAAATGGGTTTAGATACTTCAGCCTCAGAAGGTTTTAGTTTGCTCACTTTGAAGGAGAATAGATGAAGGTACGATAAAAAGTCCAACATTAATATCTAACTATAACCGACTAACTGTGAGGAGTAACAGTGTTTTACTCATCAACAAACAGCTAAGTGTTTTTTGTTTTGGGGAAAACCGTCCATTTAAAACCAAACAGGTGGAGATTTATGGCTTTCTGCCCAATAAATAGATCATCCAGCTGAGGTTGCTGTGCTGTAGAAATAACTTCTTAAAAAACAAAACTCCTCTTTTCTGTCAGAGGCGCATGTCAGAGACCAGGTATCAGTCCTCTCCCAGACCTAGCCGTGTAGAGTTCTGAGTTTGGGAGGAAATGCTAGTGTAATCTTCCAGTGGGGGGGTTTATTTACAGCAGGTCCTGAGCCATGCCGGGAGGATCTATCTGAAGAGGCGGTAGACGCGAGGCAGGCGTCCGTCCTTGCTTGACAACGCCGCCTGGATGTGTTCGTACGTGGGCAGCTCTGTCAGGTCCCCAAGAGCTGCCACTGCAGGTTTGCTTCTCAGCATCTTGGTGGTCACTCTCTTAATGTCGCTGGCCGTCACGCTGCCTGTAAATCATTTTAGTAGTCATTAATGCATTCATTGGAGCAGCACATTTATGTTAACTTGTTTTTAAAAAAAACAATTTACTGATGAGGTCACAGAGCTCATGGGGGAGCTTTCTCTTTCCCGTGGACAGAACTTGGCGTCCAACGTCTTCAAATATAACAGGACGAGACTCTAGATTCATCATCAACATGGACTTTAGCTGAGTTTTGGCTCTCTCCAGCTCCATCTGTACAAAGGATGGGAAAATCTAAAGGCTTTGCTTTTCTTTTTTCAGCGTCAAATGAAGCCAAAGTTGTCGGGATCCTTACCTCTCCTGCACTCCCGCCCATCTGAATGAACTCTCTGGTTATAATTTCCACCATCTCTCGCACCTGGAGTTTAACACAGGAGCATAAGTGTCTGTTTTCAATCGATATTATAAGCTCTGCTTATAACTTTGACAGGGAATATTTTGTGCCCCTGCTGTCAACCTTGTAAACTGCTGAAAACCCAATTTGGAGGGCTGATCCTATAAATAGCTAAGATTTAAAAGACAAACAAGTTTATTGTGTAAAATGAGGCAGCACTATATCAAGAAATATTAAACTGATCATCAATTCACATTGTCTGTAAATCGGTCACTTCAAGCACGCTCAGCTGCTGAAGCTTGCATAGAGTCGTTCACGCTATCTACTTATCATCGCAATATTCAATACTGATACATTTTTCAGATTTTGTGATTATAAATATACGTGTCTTAATATAGTCACATTTATAGTTAAGTTTAAACTCCTGCAATTTGTGTATTATACAGTCATTAAACCCCAGAAATAAAATCCTAAAGTTCAACAGATTTTTTAAGCCGTCTTGCTGACCTGTCTGGGGTCTGCGCTCGCGTGGATGCACAGCAGCCCACTGTCCTCGTAGCTGTGATGGTAGGAGGTGGCGTTGTACATCCAGTGATGTCTGCAACAGATAAGTAGGACCACATATAAACAACAAAGCTAAAGATTTTAGCCTGGATTAGTCAAAATGAGGCTCTCACCTGTTGAGGACGTTCAGGTACAAGCGAGTGAACATGCCTTTCCCCGGTCCTCCTGCAGAGAAGGAACCCCCTCCACCCATCATCATGTTCAGCACAGCAAAGGGGATGAAGTCCTCCTCCTGTGGAGGGAATCATTTTAGTCTCCGTGTGTCAGAAGGCTGATTTGGGAATGTGCTGCAAACACCAACCAGGAAGGAGCAGCTCTCCAAGCCTATCATGATGTGGGTGAGTTCTGGGATGGGTGTGGGGCCCAGGCTCACGTCAGACATGTCTTTCTCCATCTAACAAATCAAAGGGAACATTAGGGATCATCTCAAACACAAGGTTTAGTCAGACATTTAGACGTTTATAAACACCTTAACGATGCCACCGGTGTACTGCGCTACAGAGAGGTCCACATCAGCGGCCGAACTCGTCCCCCAAACCGGCCTCACGTCCAGCAGATACTTCCGAGCACATTCGACCAGCTGCTCATGCTCGACGCCCACGCCTGCCAGCACCATGCGCTCAGGGCAGTAGTAGTTATGCAGATAGCTGTGAAGTACTTTCTTGTCTATCTTTTCCACGTTCTCTGCAGGACAGAAGCGAGGAAGTCCGACTGTGTTCCCCCGATACGCAGCCTGGAAACAGAGAGGATCCTTAAAACCAAACACCTCCATTATAAAAACAGGCTAAAAACGTCAAGTAAAGCAAATACGCTTTATTTTAATATTAACTGAAATCAGGCCACCCTGTAAGGCGAAGAAGTTCAACAGTAAAAGGAACTATGTTCCCGTCCTGCAAATCAATCTTTAAATTTGAACACAGAATAACTGGAAATAGAACCAGTTACAACAACTGAAAAAAATACAGAGAAGCTACTCGTTATCAGACTTTTACTGATTAATACCAGAGATTTTGAGGATTAGCTCCAGCATCTCGTTTTACATAAATTATTTGCAAGGTACAAGTCAGTTGGTGCTACAAATTTATATAAATCACCTAAAATCAATCAATCAATCAATCAATCAATCAATCAATCAATCAATCAATCCTAGAGGCACTGCTATAGCTTGTCTAAAAAAACCCAACAGGCAACCTATCCGTCTACTAATGTTCATCCACTTGGTCATCAAATATGAGTGACCTGCTAGTCTGTTTTAACACCAATGAATGTATGGTAGATTAAACTGGTAATTAAACGTAGAAAACCCACGTTTGCTTCAAGAAACCATATGATCCCTTCCTCTAAAGCCTCCAAACTGTTTGTACTTCCTGGTTCAACAAAAAAATTCTGCTAAAACACAATCTACAGCTGAAACAGATCAATGAAGCTCCCAGAGTTCCCACTCACAGCATGGATCATCTCAGTGAGTAAAGGCTCGGGGTCCGGCCTCATGTTTAAATCCTCTAACTCAAAGCGCACGGCCATCCGGGTCATCTCAACCTCTTCGTCTGCATGTAAACAGAATCAGTTTAGGTCTCAGTTCTCCTCTGTGTTTCCTCTGCAGTAAAATGGACTTACCCAGCAGGCGAGGCTGCAGGACAGCATCAGACAAAAGACTGACTACAGTGTCCAGACCTTTGACCTCAGCAGATACTGCATACATGGTCGTGTCTCTGCAAGGAAAACACATATATTTAAAGTGCCGCATTTAGAGGTCGCCACACACAAAATTCAGCTTTAATACCTTGATGTTTGGCAGTCACATATGCCCCCATGTTTTTCCAGTGTGAGAAGGATTTCATCTTTGCTCCCATACTGAGCTGTGGACTGAAAGAAAAGGACATTCCTTAACATGCTTAAAAACGCTTTAACAGGTGGAATATGCTTTTTTTCTTTGTTTCTTTTGTTGACTTACAGAAAAAGCGAGTTTTTCTAAAAAGTGTGATATTCCACTTGGATATTTTGCTTCATGTCTAGATCCAGAATTTATCAAAACTAAAAACCAGAACAACATAAAAAAAGAACATTTAAACAATTTCCCACAGTTCAAAAAAGATCAGCATCTATATCTGAATCTAAACCTAGAATTTTTTTAAACTCACTTCCAACAGTGCAGAATTCGCCAAACTTGTTTTGAGAAGCAACTTTGAGGCCGTTTTCTAGAGTTGTGATCTTTGTCTCGTATTTTTCCTGGCCGTCCACGGATGCAAACAGTGGTTTTGGGATTCCAGGTAGCGGTGTAGATAGGGACACATTTGGATATCCTCCACCACTGCTGTACTTTCTGTAAGCTGCAATCCCAAACCTTTCACAACAAACAAAGTCAGTTAGTGGTGAGCTTGCAAAAATCTGCGAACACTTTAGGTTTCTACAAATAGAAAATATTAGAAATAGAAAGCTGAAGCAGGTCCAGGTCATTTTCATTTAAAATATTTCTTTCCAAAGCAATCTAGAGTAATTTCTATTCATCTAAACTTCCCAGATTTGACCCGCTGCTTTACACCTGTTCCACACATCGTCATTAAAGCTAGAAAGGACAATCTTTTATTTCCGGGTGTATCATCTAAATAAGTTGTCCTCCTAATAGTCAATCATTTTGATGAAATGTTTACATAAGGCGGTCCTACTTGCTCGTCCCGTTAGCCATATTTTTCTGCGCATTCACACGTCCAGGTGTAAATCTGTGGTGAGCTACGGTTTCAGACAGTCATTGAAGCTCACCTTTCTCACCGTTGTTCTTAGAAAATGGCAGAGGGTCGTTAGAGAAAAAGTGTCTACGAAGTGTAGGGGAAGAAAAGAAAGGCCTCAGAAGAGGCAGATCTATCCCTTAATGCTGTGCTCCTCGCAAAGCATTATGGGATTTGCTGTCAAAGCTGCCCGCTGTTGTCATTGGCTGTCACTACCCAACAGCGGCGACTAATAACAAAGATGGCGCAGGCAGCGTGCGGTCCACCAGCGAGGAAGTGATCATCTGTCTGAACAGTAAGTTGACTGAGTTCACTACAAAGTTCCCGCTCTATATAGTGATTGAGGGATTTAGGGGTTAGGGCGGACGTTCAGGCACAATAAGCTTGTATGAGCTCTGAGAACAGCATACATGGGCTCATGCATGCTCTCGCAAGCGCATTTTTTTTTTTTCATTCGAGAAAATTCTCCACAATAATTTTGTACTTTTTTTTGTGTACTTTTAAATGATTCCAGAAAATATGCGTTTTTATTAATATGGAACTGATAAATATTATTAATCAGACACTGGAAAAGAATCAGCTGATAATTTCTTGCAAACAAATTATCAGAGATTTTATTTTCTACAATTTTTGTAATTAATTTGCTATCTTTTACCTGTAAAGATACATTATGTAGGTTTTTACTGAAAATTTGGTTTAAACTAGCCTTTTTATTGAAACCTTTATGACTAAAACAATGTTTGACGAGCAGACTGACACCTCAGTAGTTTAGCACTGATGCATCTATAAGCCTGTAACCTTTTTGTTCTTTATTTACTTTGGGTTGAAAGTTCCCACTATGTTCTGCAGATGTGATGTCAAGAACATCCATGTTAAAGGTTTCCAAACTAGTAAATAATCAAAACCCTTTTATTTCAAGCTGCATTTTGTGGATATTCAAAAGCGACCTGCATTCAGCTCAACTCACAGAACACTGGCAACTCTGGGTAAGGTGAAAAAAGTGAAAACATTAACCTTGTTTACTATAAGAGCCAAGAATGAGCAGAAGAAGGCTGCAGTTGTGTGTTTTGGCCACAGGTGGCAGTATCACACCATGATGCCTCTTTAAGCTAATAGGAAAGGATTGACCAAGATCTTGCAGTTACTCTATTGGCCTTCATTCTGTTACATTAAATATTATTTAATTTCACATAATTCAGGATTAAGGACCTGCAAAACCACATCTTAAAAAATTGGTTTGATCTTTTAAGTTTAACAAACAAGGGTAAATTACTTATTTCTACCAGAACTCTGTATACACATATTTTTGAGTGATGATTAATATAAAAGGAGCTTATCTGTAGCAAAAAAACATTTGCAGTCTGGAAGTGCTTTTTCATAAGATTTTGAAGAAAGTCAAAAGTGAGCAATATGTAACAAACAATAAAAAAGCTTGGATCAAAAGGTGGAATGGTCAGAAGTTTGCATCGTCTTCTGAGAGCACTTTAGTTTGTGCATGTCAAAATAATGAGCGATAAACACACCAATAACCCACAAGAATGTGTTCAGTGTGGAGATAATTTAGTATCATTGCAGCATGTATTGCATTCGATGCAATAAATGCTGGATTGGCCTTTATTAGGAGTGGAAGTTATGTTTTCTAGCACAATCTTTGGGTCAGTCACAGTGGTCTGATACTGGAGACAGCACATGGTACATACAACAGGCTTAATAAATGTTAATCATCACTCCTTTTTTTGGCTAAAATCCCTTCCTGCCTCTATAAAGCCTTTGTAAGGATATCTAGGACATGCACTTGTCATCTATTACTGCTTGACAGACTGTCAACTGGCAACAGCCTTGAAGAATAAAACGTCAACAAAGTTGTAATATTTCAGAAAACCAACAGAGGCTCTGACTGAGCTGTAGAATAAGTATGAAGTATTGATCCTGCTGCTTACAGACGCAGACAAACCATTAGAACACACCAACGGCTAACGCTGAATGCTA